ATTATCCTGAGGATGCATAATTAAAGATGAAATGCATATAACTGAAAAGTATCATCTAGTAATCTAGTAAAGATGACCACAAAATCTTTACTCAAAAATTAAGATAAACTATACTATGCAAGCATTGAACTGGGAAGGAAATGAAAAGCAAAACTACAAGCTATCTGTAATGCAAAGCAAAGAAAAAAATGTTTAATAGCAAATGTGTGGGACACACTAAAATCTCCATTTGGGGGGACATTGCAGCCTTTGAGTTCCTTAGTTACTCAAGAAGGAAGATGGCAAAGGAGATTAGTTTCATCTTCAGAAGTTAGGAAAAAAGAACAAAGCTAAACCAAAAAAAAAAAAAGAGAGAGAGAGAGAGACAGATGAAATGAATAAAGATAAAGGCTGAAGTTAATGAAGCAGAAGATAAAAGAAGGATTAAGGATAATCAAAATTCTAGGTTTTTTTTCTTTGAAATGACCAATGAAAGGTATAAATCTCCTACAAACCTTGTGAAGGACAAAGAACTATACATGAGTAGGAATGAGAGGGAGAGGGAGACAGCACTGTAGATACTGAAGAAATGAAAAGAATGATGTCAATCCACTTGCAAACCTAGAGGAAATTGACTATGACTCCTAAATAAAAAAAGATGTTTATGAATTTTTAAAAGTATCATCTAGTAAGATCTCATTTATCCAAAATCATAAGCGAGTGTATGGGAGGGAGGTGTATATAAGTACATGTAGGGTGTGTGTGGTGTGTGGGGGCAGCTGTGTGTGCGGCACACGTGTGTAAAGGTGCATGTGTGTATGTAGGTTGTGGGGTCCAGGTATGTGGTGTGTAAGTGTGGGGACATGCATGTGTGGTGAGAGGGAGAGGGACTTGCATGTGTCCTATGCTGAATGTTTGTGCTGGTGGCCTATGGTCTGAATGTTTCTGTGTCCTCAAAATTCATATATTAAAACCAAGCCAACAAGGCAATGGCACTGGGGGTGGCCTTTGGGAGCTGAGTGGGGATTGCTGCCCTTCTAAGAGATCCCAAGGAGCCAGTTAGTCCTGCCTACCTCACAAGGGTGCAGTGAGAAGGTGCTATGAGGCACGAACCCTTACCCCACATACAGCCTATCAGAACCTACATCGGGGACTTCCCAGTTTTCAGAACTGTGAATATTAGTTGCAATAAATATTAATATTAGTAAATGTTTACAAGCTACTGAGTCTATGGTATTTTGTTATAGCGGCTCACACGGCTTAGATGAGATGCAAGTAGCACTTCAGGTCCCCATCCCTCGTGAGTCCCTCAGGGGAGGTTCCTATGAACCCAAGTCCTGAGCAGACTGTGTGGGGATGCATGTGAATGTGTGTGCATGTATGTGTGTAAGTGTGCATTTATGAGTGTGTGTGAGATTGGATGTGAAAGTATATGTAACATGATACAGGATTTCCCCACTCTGGGATGGACAGGGAGCCCCCCCATTCTCTAGGCCCAGGTGAGCTCAGAAATCAGACCCACATTTCCAGGAACAAACAGGCTGCCTTTTTCAGGACCCACCCTCTGGGTTCTAACAAGATCATGAGCAAAGTAGTCGGAGATGGTTTTTTGGGTGGTTCCACCTTGAGTAGGGAGCACACAGGCTAATCTCTTCTCAGAGACAAAAACTGTAAAGACCAGATAACCTTGCCCTAGTAGAGGAAGAACTACATTCATGCATTTGTTAATGCACTCATTGACTTTGAAAAGATGTTTTTCCACCTACCAAGTCCTGGCCAAGTGTAATTCTCAAGACCTAATACCCCTAGATAAGAGCCCACTGTAGAGACTCCCCAGTTAGTTCTTTCCCCCTGCCAGAAGCTCTGGTGCTTTTTACCTCTTCTGTATTCCTTTCCGTCTAATAAAAATCCTACCTTACCACTGATCAGTGGTCCATAGGTTCATACTTCAAATCCCCAAGACCAAGGACCTACTGAGGAAGAAATTCCGGTATCAACATTGTGTGTGAGAATGTGTATGAGTGTGTGTGTATGTCTGTATGTGTGAGTGTGTCAGTGTGTATAAGTGTATGAATGTGACAGGATGTCAGTGTGTGAGTGTATGAGTGTGTGTATCCATGTGACAGTGTGTATGAGTGTACAATAGCATGTGAGTCTGTATGAGTGTGTATGTTTCTAAGAGTGTAGGAGTGTGTGACTGTGTATAAGTGTGACTGTGTGTATATGTGTGACTGTGTGATAATGTGTGTGAGAGTGTATGTATGAGAGAGGGTGTGTGTGAGTTTAGGGTGTACACACGTGTGTGAGTGAGGGCATGTGTGTTTACCAGCTGAGCTGCAAGAAAGCAGGGTCCCCACAATGCTGAGGATAGGAGCAGGGAGGTCGACAGGTGACAGTCCCCTGCTGACACCATCAGTACTGCCTCAGCTCTTTACAACTGCAGGGCATCTGGCTCTGTGGCAACAAAGGGTAGGGAGCGCTTGTTTCTCCTCCTGGACTCTCTGCTCTGGGCCCCTGCACAGTCTGGTTCACGCCTTCTGGCCTCTTCACATTGTCTTCTGCAAATAACAGCTGGAAAAGCTTGTGGCCATTTGTTTTAGACTTGTTTCTCTCCATGAATAATTCCGTTTTCAATTGGCTTACCTCAGATTTCCCCAGACACATTCCTGTAACCACAGCCTGTCCCCCAATGGCTGCCCCCCCCCCATGCCTTGATGTGGCTCATTGGTCAGTAGCACAGTTAGGTGAGAGGTGGGCAGATAAACTGAGGCAGTGGAGTCGGCCCACAGTACCAGTTGCCGATCTCCAGGACAACCCACATGCCTACTTTTGCTCCCATCCATTCTTGTGGGTATCAAGAGCCCACTTGCCTTTGTTGCCAAGTAGGGTTCGCAGTGTGGACATACTGTGGTTGTCTCGCCATTCACCCGATGATGAACATCTGGGTTGTTTCCAATTTGGGGCTATTAGGGATACAGCTGCTGTGAACATTTGGTCATGTATCTTCCGTGCTCACATAAATTCCCTTTTGGGGGGTAAATAACTAGGAGGGGAATTGATAGGCCATATGGCAGGTGCACCTCTAACATTTTAACATTGCCAAACTGTTTTTCTACATGGCTGCACCATTTTACCCTCTCACCAGAAATGAGAGAGCATTGCAGTCTTCCGCATCTCTGCCCACACTTAATACGGGCAAATATTTTCTGTTTAGCCATTGTAATAGATATTAAATGTTCAGGAATTTTGAGAGCTAATTGTTAAGCACCATCATTATTAAAATTTGAATAGTAAAAGCTGATAAATGAATTTTAGTGTGTCCAAATACTTGTTAGGGATGACTTTGGGACACCCTGTATTAAAACAAAGGAGATATTCAAAATTCATCACAACTTAATTTTTGGGCCATACTTTAATGTTACTGTATATTCATGGCATCTCTTGGATCTGCATGGTGGAAGCCAAATTGCTTACCAAGGTCACCTCAGTGACTTCATGTTGATTCCTTGAGACTAACCATGGTAGAAGTATTGTAGCACAGAAATCAGTGTGCTAGGCTAGGTACAGTGGCTCCTGCCTGTAATCCCAGCACTCTGGGAGGCCGAGGAGGGTGGATTTCTTGAGCTCAGGAGTTTGATACCAGCCAGCAAGAGCATGACCTCATCTCTACTAAAAATAGAAAAACTAGCCAGGCACTGTGGCAGGCACCTGTAATCCCAGCTACCAGAGTCCCCTGTATGTGTGATCCTAGAGTTGAGCCACTTTTGGCAACCCATTTGGTGTCACTGGCCCAGTGAGTCAGCAGCAAACCCAGGATTTTAAGGGTGCCATCTGCTGCTTCAGGCAGCCCACCTGGAGCCCCCCCCCGCCCCAGTCAGATACAGGGAGCCAGGACTGCCTAGCACCAGGACTTCTCGGGGGCTCCATGCCCCCTATACCTTCTGGCCCTGCCTGGTGTCCTGCACTCACTCAGCCCTACTAAGCCAGCCTCAGTGTGACAGTTTCCCAGTAGGGTAGCTCTCTCTAGGATTCCTGGCTGTGACAAGACCTCTGGTTACTAACCATATTCCCAAACTAGTCTCCATAGGGCTTCCTGCACCCACTCTTCTTCCTCCCTGGCCTGCACCCTGCCCTCAGCAGCCTGAGAGGCTTCATAGAAACTGAAGTCATGTTTTGCCCCTCTTGCTCCCCATTGCTCTCAGGGTCTGTCCCAGTCCAGGGTGAGAGGACAGCCTGATGTGGCCACTGCCCGTGCTCTGGTCTCTTCATTCTATTACTTGGCACATCACAGTGGCTCTAGTCATTTTGACCTACTTAAGAGTTCCCCAAACGTGCCTGGCTGGCTCAAAGCTCAAGGCTTTGCTCATGTGAGTCACTCTTAGGTGTGGCCACTTCCTTAACCCTACATCTTTTTACTTGCCCCAGATTTGGTAACACAAGTCTCTCCTCACCCCTGAGATCCCCCCCAAGACTTGGGAGTGCCTCAGGGTGGGGCCCGAGGCAAGTTAGCCAGCCATCCAGAGGCAGCCACAGCTGAGGTGGCTGGTGAGAAGCTGCCCTCACCACAGAGCAGCCTCCCAGCTCTCTATGGCCATGCCAGGACAGGCTCCTTCCAGGGCTACCCCACCCCTCCTCTGCACCCCAGGTCAGCACCTGTCCTGCCTCCGTGCACCCTTAATCACATGAGCTTTAGCAGTTTCTCCTGTCTACCTCTTCCCAGAGCAGGGACAGGCCTCCACAAGCCTCTGAGTGGCAGTGCAGAGAGAGGCCATAGTCAGGGGACAGTAGGATACCAGCCAGGGAGGTGGCCTATGGTTCAGGGGCTACAAGGCCTAATCCATCAGCTCTTTGACCCAGCAATCATGTCCCCCCCCAGCTGTGGTGCTTGCTGCAGGGACAGACCACAATGGAGCAGCCCAGCGCATCTCTGCCTAGTCTCTGAGGGAACAGTGTCAGGGGAGCCTAGTTCCAAGTGTTTACTGAGGAAGTCAGCTGTGAGAAGATGGCAGCTTTTATTGAGAAGCACGGTGAAGGCTGTAGTGTGGCCATGTTGGGGGGGGAGGACTCGGGGAAGGCTCTGGGCTACATGGCTGGTGGGGCCAAGTGCAGGGACCTGGGGTTGTCCACCAAGAGCTGGGGGAGGAACAGCAAGGCTATTCTCAAGGCCCAACTGAGCTGTCTGCTGCTCCTACACTCAGGCCTCAGTGTGTGGGGCATCAGGCGGCAGGTACATGGGCTGGACCTGGGCCCAGCTGCAGGCTTGCTCATCCGCCCAAGTGAGCAGCTCTGCAGCACGGTGCAGGAAGATAAGGAGCAGCGTGTGCACATCACCCTCAGCAGAATGAGCCGCGCTCGGCTCAGCCTGGAAGTAGCGGTGGAAGAGGCTGCCCAAACTATAGCTCTTGCGTCCCTGGGCCCGGGTGCCATGGCTGTGGGCACGGTCCAGACCCCGCAGTGCAGGCAGTGTGTCCAGGCAAACAGTGTCCTGGGGCAGGTAGGTACCTAGGCGCTGCAGCTCAGTGCACAGCAGTGGGAAGTCATAATCAAAGCCATTGTGGGCCACAAGGCAGATGGGGCCCGCCTGGCGGCTCAGGAAGGCCTGCAGTGTCTGCACCACAGCACCATCGAAGCTGGCTTTCCTGCAACGCACCAGGTTTTCGCTGCTCAGGCCGGTGATCTCGCTGGCCTTGGTGGTGAAGGGGCGCTCAGGGCACATGCACAGTGTGAGCTTGTCCAAGATACGTGGCAGCACTGGGGTGCCAGATGCATCTTGCTCTGGGTTCTCCAGGGAAGAACGGTGGACAGCAAAGAGGGCTATCTCGGCAATCTCAGGCTCTACACTGGGGAGCCCAGTGGCTTCCAGGTCCAAGAAAACAAAGGTCTCAGCCCGGAGCGTCTCAGACATGGTGATGTTCTCACGAGGATGGCAAGGCCTCAAGCTGCCAGAGCAAGAGGCAGAAAGGCTGAGGGCTGAAGAGACAGAGACACCTGGGCCCTCTCTGCCCAAATCTCTGACCCCTGTGAGCCTCAATCCCTTTTTCTCAATTTTTTTGTAGAGACAAGATCTTGCTATATTGCCCAGGCTGGTATCAAATTTCTGGCCTCATGTGAGCCTCCCACCTTGGCCTCCATAAGCACTAGGATTACAAGCATGAGCCACCTCACCCAGCCTGGGGCTTACTTCCTGTACCCCCTTCTCCAAGGAACTTTGGACTCTGGGTGGTTTCTAAGGCCTATATCCAGGGAGAATTTGAAGGCAACTTTGGAGCTGAGACCCAGCAAGCAGGACCTATAATTCCTGACCAGAAGGGTGCTTCCTAGGGACTCATCACTCTCCTCCATTCTGTCCCCAAGGCAGAGGCAGCCCAGAGATGGCACCTAAGCAAGGCCCAGCTTCTGCAACCAAACACTGTTGCTGGGGGCCTCAGGGAAAGCACTGAGGCTCCACCCCTGGAATCAGCTACAGTGCAGTGACCCCAATCTCCCCTGGCCTTCGCCTTGGTGCACAGGTGCCAGCCCCAAACTGGCCTCTGCCTACCCCCAGGCTCCCAGCAGCTGTACTCGCCAGCCCCACCATGCTGGCTTACCTGGGTAGTCGCTGGCCGGCTTCCTGGACTGCTGGCACAGTCTCCACACAGGCTGCTCCAGGCAGCCTTTAAACAGCAGTGTGGCCCACTCCCAGCCGCCTGTTGGGCAACAAGGAGGCCTGAGGCCGCAGGACCTGTGTGGCCAGCTCGTTCACCACCCCCTCATCACTCACAGTCACCAGGACACACACCCACATTTACAGATGGGAAGGGGTTCCTCATGGCACAAGAAGCCTGAGCCGTGCAGAAGGCCATGCCCTCCACCAACCCGCCCCAATTCTGACCAGGGCTAACGTGTGGCTGCCAGACCTGGCACACCTGGGGTCAATGCCTAGCCCCATGCTGGAGTGTATCACACAAAGGCCAGACCTGTTTCCTTTGTCACTGGAGATCAGGCTGCCCCTTGTAGGCTGAAGTTAGCCTGGGAGCAAGCCTGGCCTATGTAGGAAAGGGAATGCTAAGGATAGCTTAGTATGGCCCCAGAGGTGGTGTCCTCAAGGCAGCCCACTCACTGCCCAGCTACGGCTTACTAGCCTTGCAGGTTCATTTCTTCCACCAAGGGGAGATGGTATCTGCATCAAGGCTATAATGACCCATAATGTCTAACAAGGGCATAACAAAAGCTGCCAAAGAAGAGGGCCAAGCAGGCAGAACAGCTTCTACTGGACCAGATAACAGACAAGGAGGCCTGGCCCAGCCAGACCCACAGCCTGTGGCTAAGCTGACACTTCCCCTCCAGGGGTGAGCAATGCTGAGGGGCAGGAGGGAGCCACTGGAGCACATCACTTCAGGTGAAGGGCACTGCCAGTAGATAGGGGTGACTATGTCCTCTGGCCCAGGGAGTACATAGAGGTGACCAAGAAGAGTCCCTTGGCCTATAAAGCACTTGGGTTACACGGACACTGGTGACCACAGGCCTGCCTGTCTTCCCACTTCCCATAGTAGCAGCCCAGGGAATACTCCAAGAGACTGGGCAGGAGGGGTCTGTGGCTTCCTTGTCTTGAGTGCCCACAGGGGGACTTAGGGAAGTACAGGCGACAGTGGCAGGGAGCAGGCCATGGTGGGAAGCAGCAGGTGTGAGGGAAACCCTCCCCACTCCTAGCCCCACAGAGAGCCGCGGGAAAGGCCCCACCAGTCGTTCCTGTTCCCAAGTTCCTGGGGAGGGAGGTGGCTATGACAGGCACAGTGCTCATGGAGGTACTGGGTCACCTGGGAAGCCCAAGAGCAGCTTCCTGGACAACCAGTCAGGCCACTGGCAAAAATTCCCTGGCCTATGCTGAGCACCCAGTGAAAGAAGGAGGAGGAGGAAAGAATGGACAGAACATGGAGAGGACACAGCCTAGCCTGCCAGGGCAGCAGGAGGGCTGCAACTCACTGGCCTGGACCTGGGACACTTGAGCAGAGGGTAGGAAAGAGTGACACAGAGCCACGGACGCAAAAAACAGGCTGAAGGCAACTTCACTGAGCCCCAAGTTTCCTTTGTGCCCAGTTCAAATCTTCTGGCAATCCCTGCCAGCCCTCCCTTCCTCCCCAATGCCCAGGACCCTGCTAGAAAACGATAGGGCTGTAACTGCTCCTCCTGCCATGGCTCGGCCCTTGGGGAGGGCTTCCTGCCCTCAAGCTATCCTGGGCCTTTGCGTACAACTTCATTGAAGACCTTGTATTTCTGTGTTAGCTCATCCATTTTGGTGGCTGCAGAGGAAAGAAAAAAACACAAACAAAAGAGTGAGTCTAGTCAGTGCTTCCTGACCCAGAAGAGACAGGGTGGATAATCCATACAAGGGTCACTTCCTGCCCAGCCACCCAGAGCCATGTGTCCTCCATGGTGGATTCTCATCAGGCCCTGGGCACCACCAGCAGTAGGGAGGGGCCAGGTCATGCCTGCCAAACAGCTATAGCCCCATCCAGTTGCCCACTGTCCAGCGGAGCCAGGGGCTGTTGTGATATGGATGGTGTGTTTGGTCTTAGCCAGACAAATGACATGTGCCCACAATGACAAATTCAATGACATAGAAGAACCCTAAGGCCTTAGCTCCACTGCCCACCCAACGATGGGGGCCATGGCTGTGACCCATGCCACCTGATTCTTTGGGGTGAGGAGAGAGCACCAGGGCTGCCTAGTTATCTGCCACTCCAGGCAGCAACTTGCAACCATGACGGCTGGGTATGCCAAGGGGTCTCCAGAGAGTCTGCTCTAAACACATAGCAGCCAGAACCCCTTCTACAGCCCTGTCTGCAGCACTGTCTCTGAAATCTCCAGGTCTTCAGCATTGGTATCAGGTATTGTGACTCCCCAAATTTGCTATCCTCTGCTCATCCCAACAGTAACTCTGAAGCTAGGAATCATGGGGTCTGCCTCAGGATCATGGGCCACGGGGTACTGCATGGGTGGCTCCTCCCTGCAGAGCAAAGGGCTGTACTCAGCCCACCCTGAACTGTACCCCAGTGACCCTATCTACTCACCATCAACACCTGCAGTGGCGTCCCAGGTCAGGGGCTTCCTTTCTTCCTACACTTCTCTACAATATCCTGTCCCAGGTGCTGGACTACCTTTGCTCTGGGTGATGTCTTCATCTGCCCTTATCAAATCCTCCAGATGCCCCCAGGGGCAGTTCCATCTCTTGGCATGGCTCTGCCTTGGGCCAGGCCTTCCCGTGTTGCCCACCTGTTGCCCTCACTCTCAGCACAAAACTCACTGGGATCCAGAATCTGAGGCTCTCAGCCCTTGTAAGGCATTGTTGTTGTGCCCCCAGCGATGCTACTCTGAGGTAACAGCTTTCTTTCCCGAAGATTTGGCCCAAGCACCATGATCCTGGTGCTCCAGATCACAGAGGGCTAGGCCCTGAGACATGTCCGTGGGTTTCATCTGACCCATTCTTGGAATCTGAAGCCTCACTCACCTGACTCAGCTCTGCTTACCTGTCCCTTCCTTGGCAACCTCCCCTTCATTTCCCTTCATCTTTCTCTGGAGCCTCCGGTGGCCACCAGGGTGGAGCCCTTTCATAGCTGAGTTCATGCATCTGCCTCTTTTCTCTATAATTTCAGAAATGTGCTGCCTCCTTCTGCTCCCCAATCTGTTCCCTTGCTGAGTTTCACAGCTTTGGGGGCATGTACAGATGTCACACTGAGTGTGTTCAGTGGCATTTCCTGCACATCTAGGTCCTCATCTCTTTTTTGTGGTGCTGATTCTCTTCCCCAACCCTGGAGAGCTGCTGGAGCTTGGGGAGAGCAAGCTGGGCGGTTGGCATACTAGCCCTGCCCTGCTATGTGGGGCTGCCTACTTATTGCAGAGGTCTCTCATTGCCAGGGGATTTGGAGGAAGAATTCTGTGGGGGGCACAACAGAGGTCTGCCTTCACCCATGGACCCTCAGAGGCCAGGAGGCGGGGTTTGCTTATTCATTCTAGTCATTTTCTCCACAAAAGACCAACAGTCCCTTCTGCACAGACCTACTCTGTTTCGTCCTCTTCTTCCAGTCCTCTTGCCACTGCCCTCCCTGAGCTCCCAGCTGCTCCCTCAGGCTGCCCTCTTGGCTGCAGCTTTCCCTAGACATGGAGCCCATCAAATTGCTCCTGTTCACTTTCTGCCTTCCAGAACCTGTTAACATCTTCCCTGTGTCAGGTCCCTCAACTCCCCTCCCCTCCCCAGTACTGACAGGGTTGTTTCATTTTCTAACATTGATATTTTCATGGCAGTCAGGTCCTTAGGAGGCCTGGGAGGCTACCTCCCAGTGTGGGAAATAACAATGGGACAAGCTGCCAGCCCATACTGCTAAGCCCTCCCTGCTCCACGTGGCTACACTTCCAGGCATAGGCCCTGCAGGCACATAGGCCCCTGCCCTCCAACGTGTCACCAACCTAGCCCGGACACTGGCACACAGATGGACAGGATGGGATAACACAGCAATTCAGACCTTCCATGGTGAGAAGGCTTGAGATAAGTGAGACCAAGGCCTTCAGTGTGTCGAGTGGGAAAGAGACAAGCAAAGGATAGTTCCAAGTGGCCTTTGGTGTGCATGTGATGCTAGCTCCTTTCTCTGGGTGTGTCTCAATTTCTAGGAATTCATATCAAACCAAATCAGGAAGCTGCCTTGATGAAGGCCAAGTCAGGAGTCCCAAGAGAGGTTGGCACCGTCCCTGCTCCCCTCACATCTCTCTAGGCTCCAAAGTGCCAGGGGTCAAGGGTGAACACATGCTTCCCTGCAAAGTGCTGCTGGGATCACACATCCTGACGTGCAGGGTACCTATCTGAAAAGCAGAAGCTACCACTAGTCCCATGGTGCCCAGTCACAGGTAAGATGGCAGGGTACTAATGATCATTATTATAATAATGACAGCATGAATTACACAGTTTATTAACAACAATTCTACGTACAGGTTGCAAGTCCTGGTGACAGTGGTAACTAGGATAAATGCTATAATAAATTTTAAAGTAGAGGATTCTGGTGCAGTTCAATCAGCAAGAAGAGATTCCTGAGTACCCAGTGTATATGTGGCAGGCATGTGGCAAGGGCAAGAGCAGTGACAGGGAAAGCTGCCCAAGGAGGGTGGGCTGGAAAGTTCATCCAAAGACAGTTTCCAAAGCAAGACCTCAGAGGCTATGTGACCCAAGGCACAACTTGAAGGCATATCAGTAGAAAATATTTCTAGGTAAATGCCTTAGTTGCTGCTGCTATCTGAGATACTAGATAACATTTGGGACAAGCAAAAGACTAACCAACAAGCAAAGGAGGAAAGGCTGGGGGATGCAAGAGCCCACAAGAGTTCTGAAAAGCTCTGACATAGTCTTGGGAATCTGGAAAGCCATATGCATGCCCATGGCTGTGAAAATGCCCAGGAGAAACATGAAAGGCCATGAGCTCTCACCTCTGACTGACTCTGAGGCTCTGCATAAGCAAGAAATGAAGAAGAAAGCTGTCAACTGCCTAGCTGAGTATTAATGAAAAACATGAATCTATAGCTCTAAAAAGCTCAAAAATCTACAAAAGGGATAAATTCAAAGCAATTCACACAGCCCCATCATAATCGAACTATCAAAAGACAGAGACCAACATAATTTTGAAAACAAGTGAAGAGATTCATCATGCACAATGGCTTTAATAAGATTAATTTCATGTCTTAAGCTATTAAGATCAGACAACAGTGGAATAGCATATTCGAAGTACAAAAGAACAGAACTGTCAACCAAGAATTCTGTATCTAGCAAGATTACTTGCAAAGATGAAAGAGAAATTAGGATGTTCCCAGATAAACAAAAGCTGAGGAAGTTCATCACTAGTTGGTCTTCCCTATAAGAAATACCGAAGGTATGCTGTAAATATTGTGGATACAAAGAAAAAAAGAAGAAATACTGAAAGTAGTTCTCCAGGCTGACATGAAAGGACACTAGATATAACTTGAATCCATATGAAGAAATAAAGAACTCCAATAAAGATACCAACATAAATAAATATAAAAGTGAGTATAGAGGTGGCATCTGTGGCTCAAAGGAGTAGGGCACTGGCCCTATATACTAGAGGTGCCGGGTTCAAACCTGGCCCTGGCCAAAAACTGCAAAAAAAAAATGAGTATAAACATTTTTATCTGTTACTTTTCTTCTCCTATCTAATTTAAGTTATAGAAAGCAATAATTATAAATTTGTGTTGATAGACATATAACATACAAAGTTATAATTTGTATACAATAATAACACAAAAGAAAGGAGAAGGAAAACATCTATATTAGAGCAAACTTTTTATATACTACTCAAACTCAGAACTAGATTGTTTAAGATGTTTACTGTAATTCTCAGGGCAACCACTATGAAAATAACTTTTGAAAAATAGAGTTAAAGAAACAACAAGGGAATTAAAAAGGTGCCTGTGGCTCAAGGAGTAGGGCACCGGCCCCATATGCTGGAGGTGGTGGGTTCAAACCCAGCCCCGGCCAAAAAATAAATAAATAACAAATAAACTGGAATTCTTATCTTAAAAAAAAAAAAGTGTGTTAGAAAATATTTAACACTCAAGAAATCATATAGAAATAGAGGAACAAATAAGATCTAAGAATTATAGAAAAAAGAGCTAAATGATACATATAAATCCTTATCAGTATCTACCTGAAATATAAATGGATTAACAACCCAATCAAAAGGTAGAGATTGGTAGAATGGATAAAACAGTTTGGCAATCCCTCAAAAAGTTTAATATAGAGTCACCATATGGCCCAGCAATTCTATTCCTAGTTATATACCCAAGTGAACTGAAAAACCTATGCTCACACACAGACGTACAAAATGTTCATAGGAACATTATTCATAACTGTCAAATAGTAGTATATCCAAAGGGATTATTCACTCATAAAAAGGAATGAAGTAAATGGATAAACCTTATAAACATTATGTTCAGTGAAAGAAGCCAGGCACAAAAGGACACATATTGTGAGACTCCAATTATAGGAAATGTCCAGAATAAGCAAAATTCATAGAGACAGACAGTAGACCAGTGTTTCCTGGAACTGGGCCTAGAGGAGAATGGGGAGTAACTGCTAATAGCATGGGATTTCTTTTAGGGTGATAAAAATGTTCTGGATTTAGATAGTGGTTATAGTTATGCAATTCTGGAAATATCCTAAAAACTGTTGAATTGTACACTTTCCAAAGGGTAAATGTTATATTATGTGAAGCACAGCTTGGTAAAGCCATTATTAAAAATAAAGAACAGAGGCTGGGTTTGGTGGCTCACACCTGTAATCCCAGCACTCTGGGAGGCTATGGCAGGTGGATTGCTTGAGCTCAAGATTTCAAGACCAGCCTGAACAAAAGCAAGACTCTATCTCTAAAAAAAAAAAAATACCTGGGTGTTGTGGCAAGTGCCTATAGTCCCAGCTACCTGGGAGGCTGAGGCAAGAAGATCACTTGAGCCGAAGAGTTTGAGGTTGCTGTGAGCTATGATGCCACAGCATTCTACCCAGGGCGACTGAGTGAGACTGTCTAAATAAATAAATAAGCAAAGTAGGAAAACTGAATTTACCTTCTTTCTTTGAAAGAAGAGGAATAGAACAGAATAGAGAACCTAGAAACCCACACATATAAAGACATGCAGTAACTAACCAAGGTGACAGTACTGTAGACAAATGGGGAAAGAGTCCATTAATGGCACTAAGACAAATGCATATCCATAAGGAAATTGGACTCCTGCCTCACTCCACATGCAAAATTCAACTATAAAAGGTAATACTATGAATTTTTTGGAAGATGATATAAAAAATACCTTTGTGATGTTAAGAGTGGAAAAGTACTCTTCAGTAAGACACAGAAGGCACTGTCCATAATGAAATGATGACTACATGTGACTATATTTAAATTAAAAGCTACTATTTATCAAAAGACCACATAAAAGTTATGAAGAGATAAGCCACATAGTAGAAGAAGACATGTGAAACATTGAACATCCAAAACCTTGTATCCAGAATATAAGAAAGCATACAAATTGATAAGAAAAAGACAAGCAATCCAATAGAAAAATGAGTGAGACTTAGGCAGCGTCTGTGGCTCAACAAGTAGGGCGCGGCCCCATAAGCTGGACGTGGTGGGTTCAAACCCAGTCCCGGCCAAAAATTGCAAAAAAAAAGAAAAATGAGTGAGACTTAAACACACACTTTCATACCTTCATGGTCAATAAAGGCGTGAAAAGCTACAACTTTGTTAGTAATTAGTGAAATGCAAAATAAAGATGCGATGAAATACCAATCACACACCTACTAACGAGGTGCTAGTGAGAGAAAGTCTGAATATGTGAGTGTAGGTAAGGGTGTGGGGCAATGGGATGGCTCAAGCACTACTGGGTAGGGGTGGGGAATATGGCAGGATCGAGTCGTGCTGAAGATAGGCATGCTCACCTGCATGACGCAGTAACTCTACTCCTAGAAAGACGTTGCGGAAGTGGCATACATGTGCATGAGGACACAGGCTCAGGAATGCTCACAGCAACGTCATTCATGAGAATCCCAAACAGAAACAACCTTCACATCCACTGACAGAACAGGCAGATACAGCACAGTGTAGGCATCCAATGGGACACTGTGTGGCAGGAGTCAGCAGACTACAGCCTGCCACCTGCTTTCACAAGTCAGGTTTTCCTGCGATACAGCCAGACTCATCTACGCATCCTCCACAACTGCTTTCTCCTGACAACAGGAGTATCAAGTAGTTGCCACACAGATCACATAGCCTGCAATGCCTAAAGTATTTACTATATTACAGGAAAACTTCATTGATTCATGCCACGTGGCAATGAAAATAAACAAACTACAGATACACACAATATAGGTGAATCTCACAAAGAAGTAACTGTCACCCAGTCAGGAAAGCAGTCACCTGAAGCCAGGAGAGGATTACAAAGAAGCACGTGAGAGATGCTATGTCCCATTTACGGAACCTGCATTGTTGAATCTGAATGAAGGGGGAAAATAAGAAAGCAGTTCAGGTTTATGGCCCTATGAGCTAGGACTCCTCCCAAAATGCTCCTTGTCTTATTTAAAAAAAAAAAAAAAACTTTTCTTAATGTATATTTCCACAATTAAAAAAATTATTCAGAAGAAGTTTACTTAAAATTAAATTTAGATGATTGTGCACGTGTACAGCAGCAACGTGAAAAGGTCCAAATCCAGAGCTGATGTGAACACAGTAAAAAGGAAATCATTGGCAACCTAATGACCTGGCCTTAAAACCACTGCTGAGCACAGCCTCACTATCACCTCAGTGACTCTGTGCTAAGGACATCATCTAAAATGCAGGGGACATGTTAAGTCTACATACACCGTGCACTTTTTGTAAAGATTGATAATCATGGGGAAACATAACCCAAGTAATCCAAATTCATCAGAGATAGGGCTGGGGAATAGTGAACAAGCCAGCCTACCTCTGCTTCAAACAGACAAAGTCCACCTCCATATTCTGGCATATTTCCTTCCAGGATTTTTTCTGCATTTGTTTCTTTGAGAAAGGGACCTCACCCAGTATATTTCATTTTTTTCCCAGTAACATTTTATAATATGCATTTCCTTGTGTTCTTATAAGCAACTCCCAATAATAAGTATGATCCCCTTCCATGCAGAGATACCATCACTTAACCCAAGTATTACCTGATGTTAGAATTTTGGATTGTTTCCATTTTTTCACTATTTAAACCCTACAATGGCATTATGTATAACAGTAAAAACTTAAAATGACCTACAGATTCAGTCATAGAAAATGCTAAGCTAATTTTAGCAAAGGGGTGACTGGACTAATATTTGACACTTAAAAATGTTATTTAGTAAAAATGGTAGAACATTTATAATGAGGTCAAAAGGAAAGAACGTAGTATTTAAAAAAAATGCCCATGTCATGATTAATCTTAACTTTAAAAAAAAAATGAGGATAAGAAAAAGAAGGGAGGGAAACAGACCAAAACACTAACACTAACCACCTCTGGGTTGCCAGTCATTTCTACTTTTACCTCTGCAGGCCTTTGGGTTATCCAAATTCTCTACAATGTAAGTATTTTTATCAAGGGAAGGAAAACATGCTTCAGAGAAAGTAGAAAGAAGTAAGGGGCCTGTCCTGAGATGTTCCCCCAAGTGCTGCTGCACACAGACAAGAAGCTGAGAGGGAGGTCACATACCTAGGCTCATCACAGAGCTGTCACTGCCCCAGCAGATCTGCTCACCCTGCTGCTTCCTCGCCATCTCCAGAGCTCTCACAGAGGTGTCAGCAAGCTTCGCCATGGCTTTCAGTAGCTGCAGAGGGAGTGGGTGGGCACTCAATGCCACCACTTTTACCTAGACACAGCTTCCCACCCAAGTTCACAGTGAGCATGTGGCATTTGCCAACAAAGACAGAGTTCTCAAAGCAAAGACCCCTTCCTCCTGGAGGACACCATACTATGATGTTGCTCTAGTAATCTCCATGCTTAGGGACATGCCAGACAGTATTGCATGTCCTCCCAGCCCAAGCAAGGCAAATGGCCCAAGAAAAAAGAGCAGGAGAGGTCTGTGTCCTAACCACCATTCCTGTTGGAGGGTCTCATAAGACGGACTGGTCAGAGTTTGCAAGTCTTGGAGTCTCTTCATTAAAAAAAAAAAAAGAAAAAAAGAAAGAAAGAAAGAAAGAAATGGCATGAGCCTCTTGAGCCAAGGTCAGTGTTCTGCATATGACAACTATGATAATTATAACTAAATCCAACTTTTTTTTTTTTTTTTGCCAGGGTTGGGTTTAAACCCACCACCTCTGGCATATGGGGCTGGCACCTTACTCCTTGAGCCACAGGTGCCACCCAACTTTCTTTTTTTGAGACAGAGCCTCAAGCTATCCCCCTGGGTAGAGTGCCGTGGCATCACAGCTCACAGCAACCTCCAACTCCTGGGCTCAAGCGAGTCTCCTGCCTCCGCCTCCCAAGTAGCTGGGACCACAGGCGCCCGCCACAACGCCCGGCTATTTTTCTGGTTGCAGCTGTCATTGTTGTTTGGCGGGCCCAGGCTGGATTTGAACCTGCCACCTTATGTGTATGTGGCTGGTGCCTTGGCCACTTGAGCCACAGGTGCCAAGCCTAAACCCAACTTTTTAAGTTGGCCTCTGGGGATCTTAATCTTGAAATGTGGAACAAGGAAACAAGTAAACACCTACTTAGCAGTGGGAGACCACCTTCTCTTCACTTGTTGGAGCTGGTTCATGGGTACGGACAGACAAGCTTCTGTCTGCCTGTCTGGCACAGTTCTTGGTCACACAGAAGAATGAATGGACCTTGATGTGTTTGGGTGCAATGTGGAAACAGAGTGAGGCTAATATCAGGATAGGAGCTGGAATAAGTGTCACACCAAGGTGAGTGGGACTAACACAGGCAGTATATAAACCTCTTCAGGGCCCAGGGTACTGGCTTAGTTAATATCCCACTAAGGTACGGTGGGTTTGGGGGAAATACCAACACTGATCCTTCACTGCACAGGTACCCTCCCTCTATGACACCCAGAGAAATATTTGTCCCAACCCACTAAAGATCCCAGGCCTGGATCCCAGGCCTTGCCATGTACTGGTTTGCAGCGAGTCCGGGCTGAGTCCCTCTTAGCCCCTTGTCCCAGCCCTCAAGTCCCTTGTCAGAGGCAGGGTATGAGCCATCAGTCTGAGAGAGCAGGACAGGGGAGGGGAGGGGAAGGTGATTCTTACTTGGCTGCAGGAAGTCAGAGACTGGTACACAGCCTGGACAACAGGGCCACATGGGTGGAGGTCAGGGCCTGGGCGCCGGCAGCACTCACACAGCTCATTGTCGTAGACTTGGAGGAAAGCCAAGATGAGCTGGTGGAAGTCTGAGATGACCAGGCGCAGTTTCTGGTCCAGGGTGCTGGTGTCAGCCCCGCCCGTAGGGGTCCCCTGCTTGCGCTGCACAAAGCACTGCAAAGCCAGAGCAGAGAGGCCCTTGAGGCTGCCCTATCTGACAGGCCCAGGCCACAGCAAGCCCTTGCCTGACACAGCGTGCAGTCAGGATGAGAAGAAAGCTTCCATCAGCCAGGAGACAGAGGGGCTGCGAAGCAACTCAGTTTAGAGCAAGACCTTCTGGCTTTGGGCCTCAATCCTTCCATGTAATGCTCACGAGGACCTCAGTCTCTTTTGTAATCAAATAAAGAGGCCACACCAAAGACTAACGGGAGGGTCACATGTGACAGGGTGCATGCAAGGAGAGAGCTCAGGCCTGGTCAGTGGCCTGACTCCTGAAGCAGATCCTTCCCATTCCAGGCTAAGCTTTCCAGGTTCATGCATGGCCCTTTGCTCCCCAGGCTCAGACTCAGTATCCACCTTTCACCTTCATGTGGACAGGGCACCACAGCATTCTAGAACGAACCTGCCAGGTACTACACACTAGCCACCTCCCTTAAGCCTCACATATCACTTGCTCTAGGACACAAAGTAGGCTCCCCAAGCCTCACCACCCCCAGCAGCTAGCACCCCTCACCTCTAGCCTGAGTGCCTGCAGCTTCGCAGTGCTGTTCTGCAGCTGCCTGGCCAGCTCCACCATTTTCTCCTCCTCAAACCCGGCACAGGCGCCAGCCCTGCAGGAAAAGAAGAGGGGACATATCCAGCTCTATGCCACCATGGAAATCTGAGGCAACAGAAAGAATCAGAATGGGAGCTGGGACAGGAACCCAGGGCACCACTTCCAAAACCTCATGGAGCACATACCGCTGCCGGTTATCACTCTGCTCATCAAGGAGGGGCTGCATGTCCAGGGGCCATGAGTCACACCGGGGGTTCAGGAGCGTCTGCAGGTGGGGGTTGGAGAAGAGCTCCTCAAGCAATGCCTCATTCTTCTCCCTGGTGTCCTCGAAGTGCTCCTTTAGGCTGCAAAAGTGGCCCCAGCGTCCCATCATTTGAGGCCCCAGCACTGGCCCCATAGGCCCTTGGTCCCACATGGAAGACCCAAAAGGCAGAACAAGACAAGTGGGGAGCCAGGGAAGGGAGCCCCACTACTCTGGGTATTCATGCACCTCCAAAGTGCCCTGCCCGTCTCCTCCCGGGCCTATGCTATACTTTCTACTCACATCAGGACCCTCGGCAGCCACCCCTAGCCCACACTCTGCCTGGCCTGGACTAGCCAGCTGATCCTCAAGTGGGCAGTCCCAGCTCGCATCCCCAGCTCCTGGCCCAGTGTGTGGCTGCTGTTTCAAAGGGAGTAAGACCCCAGATGCAGACATAACCCTGCCCCACCAGCTCTAGATCTAGGGCCAAAACCAGACTGTCCAGAGCACCCACTGGGGCCAACCCAAACCTTCACCTCGAGCAACTGTAGTACCCAACAGTCAGGCTCCGGACTGCATCCAGCAACTGGTCCATGAAGTGCAGCTGCTTCTGAGCACAGGCACAGCCCTAGGCAGGGAAGGCCACACATACTCACTGGCTAAACCTAGGCTGGACCAAGACAGCTGTTCCAGATGCTCTTGCCCCACATGCCACCCTCTGTCCCTACCTAGCCACATCTTGGTGTAACCCAGGGACCTTGACCTCAGAGGCTATTGCTGTCAAGGGCTCCCTCCCCAGCCCCCACCTCAGGCTGCAATGATGCCTAGGACCACACTCTGAAACATTCCAAGTGCTGTAGAAATGCACAGGAGTGTTTATCACAGAGCTAACAGAACAGCTTACTGAATGGGCATGTAACACACAGCAGGGACTGCTGAAATGGAACACAGCCCACAGGGACCTGATGGCGCCCCATTCCTCAGGGTTATCTACAGGACAGGGCCAGGAAATAACTTTTGCCTCAATATCCATGTTAGGTGGTACCTCTCTTCCAAAGCCTTTTCTCTTCTCATTCTATTTTATTTGCCATTATTTTAAAAAATACAAAATAATACATGTTATTTGATTTGGAAAATTCAGTAAAGTTTTAGAAAGTTAATGCAATTAAGTGCTTCATTTACTTTCAACGTCCTATGAAGCAAACAGCACTATTATTTTTAAAATGAAGAAATCTGAAAAACAGCAGAGCAAAAATGATACTCTGGAATAAACTACGGCTACTCTGTATACATTCATAAACATGACATATAGACCAAAAACCTGTATAATATTACGACAATCAGAGACTTGAAACATCCCTTCAAACTGGAATTTCAGGGAGAGCACCACTGAAATGAACTAGCTTTGACTTGGGTTGGAAAATGAAAAAAAGAGGGTGGTCAGACTAGGAGGAGAAAGCCACACAACACACCCCCAGGCTGGCCTGGAAAGATCAGTGCTACTGACCCTGCAAGAGTGAAAACTGAGGTAGGACCAAAACTCCATGCAGGGTAGGCAGGAATTCTGACTGGAGCTGGGGGCTGACCTGGTCCCCAGCCCAACTGGAAGGTAAGTGGGACACCCTCAGACAGCTGCCCAACGAGGAGGTCAAGGCTCCTCCCTCCTTCCAGAAAAGGACTAGCACTGAGCCTGAGATTGCTTGTGCAGCCTCTCCAATGTAACCTCCTCACTGCCCTCACCAGGCATGCACTGCGATTCTAAGAAACACCAGAAAGGACTCGCTCACCCAGAATTACAGGCAACATGAAGACCCCAAGAAGCACTGACATGGCAAGTTGGCCTTGAGGGAAGAGACGGAAACGAAGGGGCTGAAGAGACCCTGCTGGTATCTCAGGCCCAGAAGGCCCTTGCTGAGGAGACTTGGGGGCTCTGAAGCACTCATTTCATGGCTGCAGCTGCCTGGCACTTTTAGCAGGCCTGGCTCCCCACTGTGTGACCACATTGACATTGTGTGCCTTTGGAAGCGTCTTCCAACTTTGTAACCTCAGCTTGCCACTGGCTTCCTGGACCTCCTCATTACCTCCCATTGACTCATTCTCCCAAACTACCCAACAGACACTTGCAGGGTAGCTATGGGGTGGGGAATGGAACACCGTCTAGACAGGAGATAGCGCAGACAGAAACACATGAGTAGCTGTGCCTGTTGACCCCTCCTCAGTGGAAAGCCAGCTCCAACCACCACTCAATGCCCAGGAAGAAGCAGGCAGTCTGCTCAGAATTCTGCAAGCCTGGGGTCAGGTGGTGACCATGGCACTGAGTCCACCAGGCAGTCTTGGCCTGCACCTTCCTGTGAGTTCCCCCAGGCCCTAGGCCTGGCCCACAGATGGAATAACCTCAGGAAAGGTCAGCAGAACAAACCCCCCCAGCCTGCCCTAATTCTATCTTGAGCAAACCCAGTGTGCTCTTCCCACCTCCTCTCCTATTGTCACCACCCCAGCTGGCACCTACACCAGCCTAGGAGCAGTACAGCCTGCCAATGACCCCGTCCTTTATATCGCAGCCACAACTGTCTCTGGGAGACTTAGCAGAAGCCAGTTGGTCCTTGGCTGGAAATGTTCTAGTGGCCATCACCATGTTGAGAACAGTACCCTAAGGATGCCCAGCCTACTCTACACCCTGCCCCTCAACTCTGCTCCAGCCAAACCAGCAGTCCTGGCTGTTTCTTGAACACTCCAAGCACAGGCTGCCTCAGGACCTCTGCACCAGGCGTGAGCCTCAGACACTCCTCCTTCCTCAGTGCTCATAGCCTGTGAAGAGCTGTAATGCACACACCATGAGATTCACCCTCAACTTTACAGGTCCGTAGCTGTTAGGCTATGCAGGGTTCTGCAGCCATTACCACAATCACATTTTAGAACATCTTAACACCCCAAAAAGAAGCCCTATCCCCACTAGCAGTCATTTGCCACTCTTCCCTCCCCTAGCTCCTGGCCCCACCAATCTTTCTGTCCCTATGGATTTGCCCATTCCAAACATTTCATAGAAATGGGATCACACACTATGTGGCCTTTTGTGACTGGCTGCCTTCACTGAGCATGACGCTTACAACAATCACCGGTGCTGTAGTGTGCCCTTTGTTATTCCTAATTAGTTCCTCTATTCACCAGTTGATGGGCATTTGGGTTATTCATCTTTTGAGGTCATTATGAATAATGCTTCTATGAAAGTTCTGTGTGCACACACATTTGCAATTCTCTTGGGTCTGTACCTGGGAGTGGAAGGGCTATGTCGGGGACTCTACATTTACCCATCAGAGCAGCTGTCAAAGTGTCTTCTACAGTGGCTGCACCATTCTCCGCTCTCACTCTCCACCCAACACTGCCATCTCCCTGGTGGGTGTAAAGCAGCATCACCTGGTGTCTTGCTTTGCATTGCTCTAATGACCAATGACATCAAGCATCTTTTCAGGTACTTAGTGGTCATCTGTGTATCTTCTTAATAGACTCTGGATACAAGTCTTTTATCAGACATATGATTTACAAATATTTCCTCCCGTTCTGTAGGCCTTTTACTTCTGTGATGGTGCACTTTAGTGCACCAAAGTGTTTTGTTTTAATGAAGTCCAGATGACCTATTTTTTGTGTGTTGTGGTGTTTTTAGCGTCAAATTACTCTTTAAAACATCATTATGAACTCACGGATTTAAATACACGGGAAGTACTGCAGTCACTGCACTTAGGACTTCCAAACTGGCCCCTCTTTGGCCTGAGGGCTTCTATTACTAGTTGGCTCCAGAGTCCCTCAGATGTGACCCTAAATCTCAGGTGGTTGCCTGCTCTCTCCTGTGTCAAGGTGTTCCTGGCACAACTAGTACATTTCCTGCCCTGGGCCCACATTACAACTGGGGCATCATTGTTGTAGGGCTTTCCAGGGCACAAGGTGAGGAAATGCATATACATATATATGTATTTCTTAAGTTAAGATATATTAGGAACTCACACTGACATTTTCAATTGAAATTCAGCACTACAAGGCTTGACGAAACCTAATGATCTTACATCTGTACCTCCTTTCTCCCACCCCACTCCACAACTGCCAGGTATCAATAATACCAACATAATTATCCAATTGTTTTTAGTTTTTATTCCCTAAGAAGGAATGAAATTGTGATACAACCTGCTGCAACATGGACAAACTTTGAAAATATTGTACTCGGTGAAGAAGCCAGTCATAAAAGGCCACATCCTATAGGCTCCAATGAAACAGAGACAGTGGTTGCCAGGGCCTGTGGGGAGTAGGGATGGGGTATGGGTCTGGGATCGCCTTTCAGGGTGATAAAGATGTTTTAAAAGTAGATGGAGACAGTCATTGTACAAATGTGCAAATTTACTAAATGCCACTGAATTGTCTGCTTTAAAGTGGCTTAAACATTGAGTACAGAGTTAGGAAGATGAGAAGATTCCACAGATAGATGGTGGTGATGGCTGCACAGAAATGTCACTGTGCTTAACAGCACTGGGCTGCACACTAAAAATGGTTAGTGTAGTATATTTCATGCTATGTGTATCTTACCACAATTTTTAAAATTTAAAAAGGTGGGAAGAGCCCTACAGGATCTTCTGGGAACTCTTTAATATTTAACTTGGTAGACTCTGTGCGATGTGCATTTTACCACAAAGAAAAGTGTGAAAATAAAAAGCAAGGGCAGGGTGCCAGTCACAGCTAAGACAGAGGAAACCCACCTCCCACAGCTGGACATACACATAGGGCAGGTGTTTTCAGTCTCTGAAAAGCCAAGTCATCAGGCTGGTCAAGGAGGAAGCCAGAATTCAGAGCTAGCCCTCAGACTGGTGGTAAGAGAACCATGCTGCCCCCTCCTGAACCCCCGACGCAAACTCAGCCAGATGACTGGAGGAAACGTTGCAGCGTACTCCAAAACAGCTCTGGGGTAGACTCTCTGGTTAAAAGCCACAAACTCAGACAGAGTAGGGAAAATTCCCTGGGCTTTTTACTCTGCTACCTCAGATCCCAGGCCACATGGCTGGGGGTGGCAATAGCAACAAAAGCACCAGTGACAGAAAACTGCAGGAGCCAGCACTCTGAGGGAGGGAACCCTCCTCTCCACACCTGGGCCTACAGCAGCAAAGGCATGGGGCCAAATCCTATTGCTGTTTTTTTCCTCTCTGTCCTCCTACCACCACGGCACAGTCATGGAAGTGGATAGTTTACAACCAGAATATCCTGGGAAAGGAGAGCCCCAGGGAGCAAGAAAGTATCAAAAGAGCCAGTGGAAAGGAAAGAGCATCAGAAAGGGAGGCCCGAATCTGTTTAGGAACACTAGGGCTCAGCCCCACCTCAGCTCTTGATGAGTACAACAAAGACTAATTACTAAGCCAGGAAGAGACCAATGCCCACGTCCCAGCTGACCACTGGGTGGCACACATGTGCACTAAGGCTGTGGAAACTACAGCGCAGCAGCGCTGGAGCTGCTTGCTCAAGAGGTAGGAGGTGGGTGGAACTTGCTGCTCACACCTAAGCAGGTCAAGGGCCTACTGAAGCCCAGACATCAACATTCTCCACACAATTTAACAAGACCCACGGTCAAACAGCTAAAATGTCCACAAAATT